AAATATTCTCACTCCTACATGTAATAAGTAAAAATTATTAATGAGATATTTTGTATACGAAGCGCAGGGTCTTATACTAGACCTTATATTTCACAGGTCCAGTTTGGACTAGCCACATTGCCAGTGCTCGGTAGCCACGTAGGCCTGGTGGCTACTGTACCAGACAGCCCAAGTCCAGGATGGCACCAGTCCCTCATGGGGAAGAAGACAAAGAACAGCCCACAGCTCAGGGAGCAGCCCCCTTGCTTTACAAATGGAAGTTATGAGCTCCAGGGAGGGAGCTCCTAGGCAGGTGGGGGGCATGGGGTCAGGCTGCCTGGTCTGAGGTTCTCCCCAAGCAGCCTTTAGCCCAAGTGCCCAGCTTTCTGCCCTGGCTGCTGGTTTCAGAACATGGAGTTGGAGGCAGGTCAGAGTGTAACAGGGTGGTGGCCAGGAAAGGGGGAGGTTCCAGGTTCCCTGCCCCACCCAAGGGAGGGTGGAGCTGAGCAGGAAGAGGAGAAGCTGCAGAAGAGACTGAGGAAGGAAGCAGGATGGAGCCAGGAGACCTGGAGGAGGCGCTTGGAGCCTAGAGACACGTGAAGAAACTGCGCTTGTCTTTTGGTCGTGGACTGGGTGACACAGATGTGGGTGAGACCCGTGGGGAGGTGACCATGGCAGCTTTTATCTTGATGTTGATTTTGCTCTTTTCCTTCCGGGCTTGTCTGGTTGTTTCTGACCCTTTTCTGAGGGTCCCCACTGGAAGATGCTTTAGACTTGTGGCAGGCTTTGGGGCCTTGCTCTGGGCCATTTCCATATGGATGGACTTTTACCCACGAGGGGACGGGTCACTTTGGGTGCTTCATTTAGAAACTAGACTCTTTGCCTTACCTGTATTGTTTCCTAGTTTTATTAAAGTTCCTTCCCATTAAAGTCTCCTATGTTTTGTGTTGATGCGGCGGATGGCAGAGCCTATTTAGAATAGGCAGGTTTGCGGGGTTTGGGCTGCCCCTCTCCCTGTCCTATAACAAGAGAAGTCCTGAGAAAGAGCGAGCCCTTCCTTCCCCTTTGAGCCCAGGCTTTTGCTTTCTTGTGAAATTCTCAAGAGCTGGCTGTCAGGAGCCTCCCACAGTAAACAGACTGTCCATCCAAGTTGACTCCCTAGATAAGTATCAAACCCAGTCCGCCCTGTCCCTTGGTGCCCTCCTCTGCAAAACAGGGATAATGGGTGCCTTGCCTATCTCTCAGGGCAGTTATGGAGATAAAATAACCAAAAGCTGTTCCCCAACTCTTAGACGGCAAAACTAGAGAACTTCTCACGCTCCAGGGCTCAGATCTCCTCATCACGCCCTAAGGAAAGTTCAAGGTCCTTTCTGTGGCTCCTGAAACCATCCCCATGTCCTGTCCTATCCCTGGTTCCCAGCCTGCCCTGCCCTCCCTTCACCAAGGCGCTGTCTCAAACACCATCTCCACAGAGAAGTCCTGCTCAACCCATCTGTTGCCTTGCAGGCGGCTGCTTTGGACGCAGAAAGGGATGAGAGAAAGAATACTCAAAGTCCAGTGAGAGAGGCGTAGGGAGCTCACCTCTAAAGGAGTGCAGCCCAAACTCTGGGCAGTCTCAGATTTATTTATAAGCAGGATCAGAGACAGTGGGCAAGTATGTGGAGAACCTCACATTCTTGGGGGCGCCTTATCGGTGATGTTAGCTAGGGTGGAGTGACCGGGGGCTATTGCCTGGGGCGCTCCAGAGTTCCCGCTAACCAAAGCATACTATCTCTAATCCCTATTCTTACCTAGCTTTCTGCTAATCTTCATAAGTAAGATATTCTAGGGCCTCCCTGGTGGTGCAAGGGGTTAAGATGCAACCTATGAAAGCTATCAGCAGCCTCTGCAGCACGAGTAGCATCCCTGGCCAGGGAGCTACCCACATGGCACAACAGGCCTCTCCTGTCTCCCTGCTGCTCTCCTCAGCAGTGTATTTCAGTAGATCTGCCTGTTCTGCTCCCCACTCTGTCTGTGGTGAATCCTCTTACTGCCCCTGCCCCCTGAACCTCTGGCCTACACCCCAGCTCCTGTTATGCATAAATTAATAAAGTAAATCTTTAAAAAAAGTACTAGTTTAGCTTGTTTATTATAGCTCATCATGCTACTCTGGCCATAATATCTGCCTGCTGTTTTCAGCGGATACTGGTTTCCCAGTATATTCCTTACACCAGGAATTTTGGCCTTGGTGAGAGGCCCCTGCCTGACCCTACATTTTAGCTTGACCAGCAGGAACTCTGGGTACCAAGACAATAGCCCCGAGAATAAGGGGGCCTGGGGATTCCACGCCCATCTTGCCACCTAGCAGCACCCAAAACCCCTCCCCCCATGTGGCTTTATTTTCCTTCTTAGCACTTACTGCCACTTGGCAGAGCCCACGTGTCTCTCTACACAGCCCCTCCTAGCACATCAGCTCCTCTGGCCGGGTCCAGCAGCCTCTCCACTGCCCAACCACACACAAACAGCAGCAAATGTTTATTGAGCACTTATTATGTGTAGACCCAGTGCTAAGCATTTCCTGAAGTGACTCACGTGGTCCCTCGTTCTTTGGGAGCTACTATGTTAACCCTATTTTACAGATAAAGAGAGTGAGGCACAAAAAAGTTTATAAACTTACCTGAAGGTACACAGCTAAGAAAGGGGGGAACTAGGGTGGCTTCAAGAACCCACCATCCATTCAGGGAGTTCTACAGCGATGACAAGTGAATGCAAACTAGAGGAAGAAGAAGAACCCAAAAGTTGCTCTCTCCCCATCTAGGCAGGCCCTATCTCAGTGAAACCACTTTTCTGTCCTGATCAGGGAAAAGAAGAGGCAGGAGGGACCAGCCCTGGCTCGTTTTGACTAGCTAACACATCAGGCAGGCGTCTGCCCTCAGTTGTTCTGAATTAAATAATTATATATTGTGATTGGTAATAACAGATGCATATTTAATCTTTGCTTTCATTCCTGGCTCAGAGTTCCTAAAACCCTTTGAATCTCCTAACTGATGAGAACAATGGGAGGAGCCTCCTTTATCCTAATTGTTGGTCTTAGGACCTCAGTTCCTGAAGTAGGCGCAGAGGCCATAAAGGCGAAGGCATGTCTTGTTATTCATAACAAACTCCTTGCACCCATACCTGAGTTACGTGAATGAGGTGACTTTTGGAAAGCCCCTGTAGATGTGGGCTGGTTGCCAAGGAAACTGACCATTAGAGCCCCACCCTCTATCTCTGGGTTGGACTGGGGGCTGGACATCAATGTACAATGATTTTTTTTAAAGATTTATTTACTTAAGCACACAAGAACTGGGGCACAGGCCAGAGGTATGGGGGGAGGGGGTGAGAGGATTCACCAGAGTGGGGAGCAGAACAGGCAGACTGACTGAAATACACTGCTGAGGGGAGCATCGGGGAAACAGGAGAGGTCTGCTGTGCCATGTGGTTCAGCTCCCTGGCCAGGGATCGAACTCTCCTGCAGTGGCTGCCTATAGCTTCATAGTGCTGAGACTCAACCCCTTGCGCCACCAGGGAGGTCCGTCCAATGATTTAATCAAGCATCCCCATATACCAAAGCCTCCATGAAACCTCAAAATGATGGGGTTCACGGAGTTTTCAGGGTGCTGAACAAGTGCAGGTGCTGGGGGTGGTGCTCCTGGAGGCGGAGGGGAGCTCACTCCTCCCGTGTACAGCTCCTCAGGCATCTCTTCTATCCGGTGTTCCTGAGTCTGAGTTGTATCCTGTGTAATAAAGTCCACTCCAGCAAGTTACCTGTTTTCCTGAGTTCTTCAAGCTGCTCTAGCAAAATACTCAAGTCCAAGAAGGGCATTGTGGGAACCTTCAATTCCCAGCCAGTCGGTCACAGGCTCAGAGACCACCTGGGTTTTAGGTTGGTCTCTGAAGTGGGGAGAGGGAGTCTTGTGGGACTGAGCCCTTACCCTGGGGGATCTTACGCGCTCCAGGTCCATCGTGTCTGAAAGGGGTGACAATGTAGCGCCCGCCCCCAGCTAGTGTTGCAGAATGGCTTGGCCTTTCTGCAAGTTTGGTGTCAGAAGTGAGAGCTGAGAGTAGAGGAGGTAGAAATATGATTGCAGAATTCAGGCTACTAGATGGGGAGGAAGAAGAGGGAGTATCGGGGGGAGCCCACTGGCCTAGAATAAAGGACTATGGGGGCTTTGATGGTGAGAGGTGTGGTCACATATGTCTGAGGTGCGAATCTATTCCCCCAAGTCACATACAGTGTTGTAAACCAATGTTACCTCAATAAAGGGGGGAAAAGGTGAAAAAAGAGAAAAGAGAGACACAGATAGTTTTGCTTCATGTCCCTTCATACCACATTGCCTTTCAATACCCCCACTGTTTAGATGGGGAAACTGAACCCAGGGATGCTCAGGCGAGAAAAGGAGTGCTGGCAGCAGAATGTGGCAAGAGGGTGCCTGTAGGTAGAAGCCACTGGAAGGGACTTGGAGAGCAGGAAATACCCACTTAGCCTTCCTCTCCTCCAACTAGTGCCTTCCCACAGCCGGACCCTGCAGGAAGCCTGCAGAAGGCAGCCCCGGGGGACAGGGCTGGGAGCAAAGAGCTGGAGCACTGGACAGAGAGCAACCAGCGCGTCGCAGGTCTCTGCTTCCAATCTGTCCTGCCCTCATAATGCAGGGCCGAGTCAGGAGGGCGCGTCCCCATCTCCTGGCAATAAGATTGCATGAGAGGCAAGAAAGAATTCGCTTTCCTGTCCCCAGTCCCACTTGCCGACTGCCCTCTTTCCAAAGGACAGCTCTCGCCGCTGGTTACAACTTTTTGCTGAGTTCCCGGCCACTCCCCCCCACCCCCCCCACCCCCGGCCTCACCTGGGTAGGAGAGTGGCTACCCTTGAACCTGGTCCCTTGTTTCCCTCTCACTGCACCCACCCTAGTTGCTGGGAACAGAACTCAGCTCCCCTACTCTCTCCCCAGTCCCTTCCCTGACCTGCTGATCCAGAGGGGGCGCCCCCACCCCTTGATCCTCTGCACGCATTTGCTCCCCCTGCTATTAACTGTGTGTTCCCTCAGTCCTCTGCCCGCCACTTTCACATAAACACGTGGCTGTTCAAACCCTGGGAGCGGGCAGGGTCCATCCGTGGTACTCAGAGCCTGGAAGCTGGATGAGGTGCAAAATGAGTGGGGCTGGAGAAGAGCCACAGGGGCCAGATGAAGAGGTGCTGGCCAAGGAGGCAGAAGCCCCATCTTTCTGCAATGGCTGCGCTAATGTTCTTTTCACAACTGTCCCCTGCAAGCCACGGAGGCCACCACCCCTTGTCCCCTCCAGCGTAAACACTGTGGTCAGTGGTGTCCCTTGCATGCAATCTCAAGTTGGTGGGTCAAAGCAATGGTCTTAAGACACTGTCAAGCGAACATTGCCTGAGAAATCATCAGATCACTAGGACAGATGGTTGGGGACTTTCAGCAGGAGGAGAGAACAGGTCAGTTCCCTTTTTATCCTTTCTGGAGAATCCGTAGCCAGCTATGCATAGCCAAGAATAGTGCAAGCCCGTTAATATGAATCAACTTTTTGTTTAACCACTCGTCTCATCTTCCTCTTTTCCTTCCATAAAACACCCTAACTTTATCACGCTGGGGAAACATTTTAGGTTTTGACCCCAATCTACCTGTCTCCCAAACTGCAATGCTTTGATCCCAAATAAAGGCACTTTGCTGTTTTCATAGCTTTCTGAATTTTTAGGTTGACATAGTGATGGAGAAAGACGGAAGGGTGGCGGGTGAGGACAGCAGGATGCAGGACATGAAGATTATGGCTGTGATTATCTGTAGTGAGGTCTAGGGCTATTACTGACCACGGGCCAAATGCACCTGCTGCTGCTGGTGTACAGCGGACGGGCATACAGTGACACTTGTGGTAAAACAAAGAACAGATTTGGTCTTTGTCCCTGGCTCCTGACACAGGAACCCTTGCGATTTCCTAAGAAATGGGGGCCTGTTCTCCTGAAGGAGCCCCTTTTGAGCATACTTAAGCTTATGCTAAAGAGGTAGCTCAGGGTAGAACCCCAGCCAGGCCTTTACGTGACAACGTCCTTTGCAGCAAGCTCCTCCACCCTCTGTTACTGAAAACTCCTGCTCCTGCCTTAGGATCAATTCAGAGAGGAACTGGCCTCCCTCTTTAGAACCCTGCCCTGATCTGCAGGTTGCTCCCAGGGATGGGCATCCTGGGTATGGCCCTGGAGGCCAAACCCTTGTTCCTGGAGGGGGCTGCATAAGCTGTGGTGACCCCAAGAGCAGGCTGAAGAGGGAGGGGTGGCAGGGCATGTGATGAGGGCATATTTAAAGGTCAGTTACCTGGTACTGGACAGAAAGCTGCTGAGGGAGAGACTCCCTCCCCTTCAAAGGTGCCACTTTGGCATGTAGACTGTTGTAAGCTGGAGACAATTAAGGCCCAGAAGATACAGGAAAAGCTTTTTACATCTCCCTTAACTGCCTTACCGGGAAGAGAGCTATGCACAGAGGTAGATTTTTATTCTAGAAAGACTCATACACACGGGGAAACATCTGCTCACCAAACATTTGCTCTTCTCATCTTCCATGGGTTACCTTCTTCCCCTTGAAGCCCAGACCCCTGCCCCTTTCTCTTTAGTTCAGAAGGAGATAGAAACTTAATTGCTTGAGTGTCTTCGAGTCTCGTATGTTTTTTAATGGGGCTCTTGTATATACAAAATTAAATGTATTTATTTTTCTAGCTCAACTCAGTAGCACAGGAGTTGTTACACAGTGTCATCTCCATAAAAGGGGGAGGTTCCAGATTCCGTGCAGCCCCTAAGAGGGGGAAGAGACACATGGAGCAGAGGGACATGTGAGGAAGGAGGGCGTATCGGCTTCTCGGCTGTGGATTTGCACCAGGGACTTGGGGGACACGGAAGGAGACATGTGAAGTTGAGATACATGGAGACACTTGCAAGAGACGTGGGTGAGAGACCCATGGGGAGGCTGACAATGGCAGCCTTACCTTGATTCGTACTTTGATTTTGCTCTTTTCCTACCAGATTTACCTGGCCCTTCTGGCCCTTTCCTATGGGTCCCCACTAGAAGATTCCTGAGACGTGTGGCAAGCTTTCTGGTCTCCGTGGCCCTGCTTCGGGCATTTACCCATAAGGGGATGGGTAACTGGGTATTTTATTGGGAAGCTATTAAATATTATCCTTTCTTCTCTTTATACACTATTTCTAGGAAAGCTTTTTTTTTCTTCCTAAGAGAATGCTTTATCTTTATGGCAGATAAAGTAGATGGCAGAACCTCTTTAGAGAGTGCAAATTTGAGGGTTCTGCACATTTAATACCTGACACTGACAATGTCTTGCTTCAAATCATGAGGCTAGATGAATGACCTAGAAGGAAGAAGGGAAAAGCTTTCTGCCTCTGCGCTGTCACCTCACTGCTCACAGGCCTGAGGTAACGACCAGGCTCTCAGCAAGGGAAGCTGGCTTGGGGGTGCTTCTGGGGTCCAGTCACAGCCTGGAGTTGTCAGAGACAAGTGGCCACAAGCCCCACTGACCCCTCCATGGTGGCAGCAGGCAGGCAGGACCATAAACAAACCCCAGCTCAGACCCCAAGACCAACATAGATCACATGGATTACTACTAAGCAGAAATCTGTCTGATATACAGTGCAAACTCAGTGTCTTGCGATCAACACAAGCTGGGGTGCCTCGGCCCCTGGGTCACAGCCGTCCTGCTGAGCCGGCTGCTCTGAGGCCATGAGGCCTGCGGGCCTCCCATCGACGGGCCACCAGGGGGCAGATGCGCTCCATCGCTCTGCAGGATCCACGGTGGGTGGAGACACTGGTCAGCCCAAGCAGCTGGACATCCTGATGGGGGTGAGGAGGGTGGAGGCAGTCTTGTCTCCACTGTGACGCTGGGCTCTCCACCCCCAAAGCTCAGCTGCAAGTTCTAGTCCAGCGGAATTTTTCAACAAGAGATCCAAGTACCTGTGAGCGAATGGACTTCTCAAGGAGTCCCCATGCCCTTCCTTCCAGAATCTGGTCAAGGCCACACTTGCCCACTTTCCAAAGTGGTCTGACTTGCAAATGGGGAAGAATCCCTTGGCAAAAACTGCCGCTTTAGCTGCTCCAGGGCCGGCCACTCAATCCGATGACGTGGGCGACACAGACGTGGGACCTGCCCTCAGCACCTTTGGTCCATTGGGTATTGCGGCGAGCTTAGTGCCAAGTGGCTCCTTGGTTCCCCTGGGGCCTGGGACTCCAGAAACAGAGGGAGGGGGTTGAGGGAACAGTAGCACTTCTTGGGAGTCAAAGGAGAAAGGGCCAGGCTGAGGTAGGTAGAGAGATGGCTGGGGTCATCTCGAACTCCTGACATTACCTGATAGGAGTATGGCCTCCGAGGGAGGAAGGAGGAGGGAAGTGGGGCCCGAGCTGTGGGTAAACTAGAGCCTAGACCTGGTACAAGATGGGACAGAAGGAGACTTGGAAGTGGTGGTTCCCAAGATCTTAAGCACCCCTGGGACACATCCATCCGCTACAGGGACTGCCACCCCCTCCCTGCACAGCACCATCTGCTGGATGACACCTCCACCTGCTGGAACTGGGCTGCAGTCTCAGCGATCAGGTGCTGCCCTGCTCTAGGGGCCCCTCTCCATGGGGCTCAGGCAGCGGACCCCCAGGAGACTGGAAGTGAGGGCCTCCCAGGGAGCCCGAGCTTGAGGAGCCCAGGGGCTCAAACAAATAAACAAACAAAACACGCAAAAAGAAGGGCTCTAGAAGCCAAGCTCGCAGGACCAGCTGGGAGGTGGCTCTCGGAGAGGCAGGGGCTCCTGCGGGCAGCCCAGCACACCTCGTCCGTGTCCAGCACCTGCGAAAGCTGCACTGGCGACAGAAGAAGTTCCCCTCTCTTCTCTCTGATAATGAGGCTGTGGAGGCCACTCGGGGAGTCTGGCCCAGAAAGAATGCAGAGTCCTGGCTGAGGTCCCTGCGCGGGGTGGTCGGGGTCAGCCCGCCGTGGCCGTGGCGTGGCCCGCGCCCGCTGGGCTAACTGGGCTTCATGCCGGCGTCCGGCACGCCGAGGGGCAGGGGCTTCTCCTCCAGGTCCTGCAGCAAAGTCTCCGGAGCCCCCGACTGGGACTGAAAAGCACATTCCTCCTTGGAGAAGGGAACTCGCTCGTCCTTCTGGGAGCCTGGAGGACTGGCATCCGGGTTCCCCGCCATGGAGCCAGCCTGCGAGGGGCACTGAGAGCCGTGGTCAGACCCACTACAAACGTTCACGATGCAGGTAACGTTGACTTGGGTCCCGTGGCCGCCAGGTGAAGGCTCTGCCAAGCACAAGAGGGGAGAGGGCGGTCAATGGGGGCGGGGGTCATGGAGTAGGGGCGACTTCATAGCCTGTGCCCTGCCCAAGAGGCAGATTAAGACTTGTGGGGAAGAACAGGAGGCCGGGAGCCACAGAGCCCCACTCTAGAGCCCTCTGCTGTGCAACCTTGAGCGAGTCACCTCACCTTCATGTGCCTCATTTCCCGCTTCTATCAAGTAAGAACTGCTGGCCCAGCATACTGCCAGCAAGAGGAGCCAATTATACCAAGCTGGCAAAGGCACTCTGAACAAAGCCCACTCTTCACACAGGGCAGAGGGGTGAGCAGTGGCAGGAAGTCTGTTTGCAGGACCCAGGCTGCCCCTGGGGATGATCTACTTTCCCGTAACTGCCAGACACCAGCCGTCCGGGTCAGACCCCATAGAAAAAGGCCAGAACCCTCTGTCACTGGCCCATCATCTGTAGGCCAACAAATCAGCATCAAACGGTAGGAAATTGCTCCTTTATGGAGATGAAACATAATTCTCTGCATTCACAGCAGATCCTCCTCCATGCAGAACTGTAGCTAAGATTTCATAAACCCGGGATTCCCACTCCAGTCTGACACCCAACCCCAAGAACTTGGGGCAGCCTGGGAAGAGGAGGGAGCCAGCAAGCTCCCCAGAGAGGTGAGGGTGGGGGGTGCGGGCTGATATACTGGGGCCAGGAGGAAATTTCCACCCTGAGCCTCCACGGTACCCAAATGTCACCCAGAGTCCCCATGGCCTTTGCACATTGTGAAAGAGACATTGCGGGGGTGGGAAGGGTACCACATGGGGGCCCAGGAGGAAGCCACAGCAGACAACCATGGAGGAGGTGTCACTGAGAAATCAGAAAGACTCCAAGAAGCCCAAGAGCCTACACTTGGAGCTCATTCATCCATTCCACAAAGGCTTAGGCCACCTGCTGTGTGCCAGGTGGGGCCTACACCTTCCTAGGGAGCTCTCAGAGCAGAGGCAGGGGTGCTGACAAGACAACACACTGATAAGGGTGGGCTCTGACAGGGACACAGAAGAGAGACCTCATTCCACCTGGGCAATGTGGGGCGGAAGCTACTGAGTCAGGTAACAGGGAGGAGAGGGTGTGACTGCCCGCCTGGGAGGAGCCGTGGCTACATGGAGATGCAGACACAGGTTTGGTGGTGAAGGGGGCTGCTGAGACTCTCAGCACCACGGGGGCTGGAGGACAGGCAGGATGGGGATGACCCTAGTCCATGGTCATTCCATGACCTCTGGCCAATCAGCACTGCCAGGTATGAAGGGGAGATAGGCCGGCGGACTTGACCCCTCTGGCGCAAAACCCACCCAAGGAAGCTCTTACCTGAGCCCCGGGAGCTGGCCCGGGCTTCCCCAGACCCATCGTGCTTCTCCGTGCCCGGGGCCTGTACATGGCTCTTGTCCGTGCTGGTGGTCGAGCTCTCCAGGGAGCTGCTGCTGGAGCTGGGCGCCGTGGTCAGCAGATGCTGCTGCTCCAGGCCCGGAGCGCTCCGGACCTTATCAGCAGGCAGATGAGGCTGGATGTGGGGGGAGGCGAGAAAGGTCAGCCATTGCCAACCCCTGTTCTCCTGGCACCACCCGCGCCCATGCCATTGCGGGACAGACAGCATCTCCAGAGAGTGACCTCCTCCACTGCCCTCCCAAGCCCGGCTCTGAGTGTGGGCCAGTGGGAGAGAAGGGGGAACACCCAAATGTCATTCCTCATCCTCCAGAAAAGGGGCTTTTCTGGCCTGGTACCCCACTCTCTGCTGCTGGCTAGAACCGGGCAGAACAGAAACCCCCAAAGGTCACAGTCCCTCCCCCAAAGCTACAGCTGCAAAATTCAGGCAGGCTCTGGGTGGAGCGGATATTCCCAGGGCTGGTCGCTGGACTGGGGCCCTAAGAAGGGGGGAGGCCCCGAGGGGCCTCACAAAACAGGGCCCCTGTCAGACAGTCACTCCCCAGGCCCCTTGTGAGCAGAAGCAGAGACCCAAGCAGAGCCCCCAGCTGGGACATCCAGATTCCTGCAGTGGGTCTGTGTCTGTGTGTGAGGGTGTGTCCAGGAGGCTCACACACAAACACACACACACACACACATACACACACACACAAATGGACAGGTGCACACACCTGTCTATGGGGGCGGTGCAGGTGTGCACATCTGTGAGAGGGGTGGTTAGCATGTATGCAAGCACTGCTGGATGGAGCAGGGCCCCAGGCCACTCTCACTAGCTGTGTGACCACGGGAAAGTTACTTAACTTCTCTGAGCCCAAATTCCCCGGACTGTAAAACTGGGGCAGTCGTCCTACTGCCGTGTGCTAAGACAGCTGTGACAGCAAGTAATGCTCTGTCCTGTGCTTGGCAGCCGGTCAGCTGGTAAATGCCAGCTCTCCTTGTTAACCTTGAGCCCTGGCATGAGTGTGTCTATGGGGGTGATTGTGCGGAGCTCGCAGATGCAGACATCTGGTCCTTTCTAAACAAAAAGAAGCCACTGCCCTTGCAGGCCTTGGGATCCTTGGGGTCTGTGGTATTGAAATGGGGGTGCTTGGAACATGGAAATGAGCCAAGAGCACAAATCAGGGTGTGGGGTGGTTTCCCCGCTGGGAGGGCCAGTTCGCAGCACCCCCTGGGTTCCAGACACATAGGCATGCACTCGGCACATCCCAATTGGGCCTCTCACACTCCAAACTCAGCGGAGAGGAAGGGGGTGCTGAGGCTGCTGGGTCACACCTAAGGTGTTTTCACGCACGAGTATTGGGAACCACGGCTGGGGAGGAACGGGGGAGCAGGCAGCCGGGGTGGAGTCTGGGGGCAGTGCCGGCTCTTGTGCAACCAGACAGCCACTGTCCAAAGGTCTGGAGCCAGAAAAATGAAGGAGTGGCGCTGGCAGTTGGGGGAGGGAGGCACACCTGACCTCCCAAAACTGTCTGCAGCCTCTGATGGGCTGCAGGGCGGGTCGAAGAGCACTGAGCCCGGACGCAGGGACAGTGCTGTGTGGTCTGGGTCACTTCTCCTCTCTGCATCCTCTCTGGTCAGCAGATTCAGGAGAGGAAATCAGTCTCCGGGCCCAGCCAAGGGCAAAGCCCCATGTAAACCCCTGGCATGGAGTCACTAGGGCTGAGCTTTTCCTTGCACAGCGGTTCTCCACTAGCAGTGATTTTATCCTCCAGGGGGCATTTGATGATGTGGCGGGACATTCAGGAGACTCCTGGGGGGCAGTGCTACTGGCATGTAGTCAGAGAGGGCAGGGATATTGACAAATGGCCTGCAGGGCACGGGAATGACCCCAGGCCCAAGGATCCCTGGGTGCCAAATGTCAGTATCGCTTCCCCTCTGATTCTGTTCCTCATCTGTAAAATTGGATAAAAATCCTGCCCTGCCTCCCAGCTAGAGGGCTACAGCCTTGGCCCACCCCACACCCATTTCCAAGACCCTCCCTGGCCCGCCTCCACCACAGAGGTTGGCAAAACAAGTGTCCTCTTCCGGCCTCCCTTGCCGCTAGTGATGGTCAAGTGACCGGCTCTCCCTGGGGCTTCCGGGACAAAGTCTGATTCCCGTAAAAACGCATGAGGGCTGGCTGGCCATTCCTCCTCTGCCTCCCGCCTCAACCTGGAGGTCACACAGGCGGTGGTGATCACAGGTCATGACCTGAGGTCACAAGCAAGAGCACAACATCTGCACAGGTTCTGTCTTCGCCAGAGCCAGGGGTCCAACCGGTGTTCACAGTGGGCACCACTGAACCCGCAGGCAGCCAACTTCTCAGGGAGAAAATAAAGCCCTGGCATGTTAAGTCGCCCTGCAGTCTTCGGTGACTCTCAGCCCAATGCCTTCCTGACGGATAACTGATAAAACGCGTCAGTGTCACATCAGTCTTCTCTTTCTAACAAAAGCACTAAGAGGCCCTTCTTTCCAGGAAAGATCAGAAGTAAGTTGCTTTGGGTGAAATGGGGGCAGGACCCAGGGCCCAGCCCCCTCATCTCCTTCTCAGTCCAGAGATGACCCCCCCAGGGTCCTTGGGGAATACCTGGGTACCCCCAGCACTCAATGTGCTCCAAACAACATGCTTTGTAAGCACCAGGAGACGCTGAGACTCGCTGCCAGCTGAGAAGGACATGGCCCTGCCGCTGGGCCTGGACTGTCCCTGTGCACTGGTGAGGAACAGCCTCGGGCAACCTGGCAGCTGCCCAAGGTGATACCATGGGCCTAGGGCCACACGCTTGTCACTGAGACCCCCGCTTCCCGACCGGCATTCCACACTCACCCTCTGTGTTAGCACGGGGAGGGCTGCCTAACCCCCAGGGATGGCTCTCCTTTCCCCACCTCCCTGGGGCTCCACCCAAGCAACCCATAGAATTCACTAGAATTCACGGCTTCCCGTGGGACCACCCGGCCAGCAGGAAGGTGGCCAGGGAGGAGTTGGGAGGAAGCAGGGGACACTCACCACTTTGGCTTCTCCTTGCAGGCAGAAGGGCTTCTCTGCAAAGAGGAGAGGGGATAAGTCAGGGAAAGTGACGCCCTCCAGCCACACCATTCTAGGCGTCTAGCGGGGGCCCAAGGAGAACCTGCAGGAGGAGGCCCAGCCCCAGGGGGACAATATCTACCTGCAGAGGTGCACAAAGTCCCCTGGCCTGTATCCAACTCTACTGCAGGCCTCTGGCATTATCCACTGACCCTGACCTTGCTCCAGCCCCAGCGCGCCTTTGCTCTCTCCTGCACACACTGCACCATGGAGACCTTACCCCGCTTGCATGACATCTGCTCCAGAAGGCAGATGGCTTCCCAGAACGCCCAGGCAGGAGCCCTGCCCCCCTCTACCCTTGGACAGATGGAGTCTTGCCTTGGAGGGGATAATTTAGTGGGAGTACCTTCTGCCTGAGGTCCTCAATACCTATGGCCCCAGAGAAGCTTCCTGAACCAATGGGTGAAGGAGGGAAGGGAATCTTACTTTTCTTCTGGGTCAGGATGGTGCAGTTCACCAGCCCTATGAGGAGCAGGCCCAAGGCTGTCACACCCACAATCAGTCCTGAAAGGAGGAGAGGCTTCAACGCCAGCAAAAGGCAAACTCGAACGCAGCCGCGCAGACACCAACGACGCAGGCCGGGGCGGGCAGGGGGCGAGCCCCGTTCAGAGGCTCTCAAATCATGAAACCAGCCAACCCAAGCCAGATGCCGCAGGAAACATGGGTGGGCCACGGGGATCCAAGGCTGGCCAGGTTGCCCTCTCCGGCTGAACCCCAGAGGGAGCCCCATGAGGTGGCCTGGGGGCCGCTGTCTGCACAGCCTCGTGAGTTCATCAGGGAGACCACCTGTGCTGCAGGTAAACGCCCGCCCGACCTCTCCAGACCCGGGCTTCTTAGTAACAGCACCCCGACTAGGGAGGGGGGGTGGTGAAGTCAAGCCACTGTCACCTGCACCCCAGAACAGAGCACAGGGTTCAGCTCATAGTGGTTCTCAGTAAAGACATGGGGGGGAGGGGAGGGGGGAAGGGACAAGGTTACGAAAGATGTGACTGACCGATGGGAAGAGAGAGGGTGTCTGTGATGATCTCTTCCACGGGGGCGCTGGGGCCCAGGGGGAGCAGCGGGGAGGTGCCTGCAGCCAGGCTGGGCCCTGGCGTTGGCTCCCTGTGCCCGGAGGCCATGGACTCTGGTGGAGTTGTGGGGCTTGAGGCTGGGGTCCCTCTGGAGGTGGAGGGAGCAGACTCCCCTCTGCAGACTGCATCCCTACTTGCGTTGCCAGGGATGTCCACGGAGCGACAGCTGAGGAAGAAGGAGGCTGTGTCAGGGGGTGGCAGGACAGACGGCCCAGGGTGTCACAGGAGCCAGGGCAGCAGGCAGGGTCCCCGAAGCAGGAAGGGGGAGAGGGTATGTGTGCCCCTTCCTGCCTCCCCCTCCGCTCCCCGTGCTCTCCACCAGCCTGACTCCCAGGGCAAGGCTACTGTTTGCTGGACTGTCTGTTCTGGAAACTTCCTCCCCAGATAAACCAGCCCTGGTGGTGGCCAGGTGTGGCCCCACCCAAGCCCAGCAAGTGAGTGTGGGTCTCAGGCACCAGGGCCGTCCGGGTCACCCAGGGATGGCCCCGCCCTGCTCCCCCAGAATCCACTCAGCCACTCACCTCCGGTGAGGCCTGCAAGTGTCTGTGGAGGACTCCGTGTCGGAGAATGTCCCTGGACCGCAGGGAGCGCAGACCACATCTGACTTGGCAGTTCCTTTAGGTAAAAGCAGGTCCTGTCAGCAGCTGACCCCAGGGGACAGGCGGTATAGGCAATGGAGCCCTGGGGGCATGGGGGGGCCCTGAGACCTGTCTGCACCTCTGCCCCTAAAACACACACTCCTGTGCACATACATACACCTCACATGCACACACAGACACATGGACACACATGCATGTACCCAGACACACACACACACATGCACTGGGCAGTTGCTCCTTCAAATCTAGGGGTTCCCTGGTCCCTAGGGTCACAAAGGGCTCATTCTCCTGTGGCATCACCTGATGCTCTGGGCCCCCAAGGTCTTAGCACCCCGTAGGTGCCTCATCAGGAGTGCTGGAAAGAACGGATGGGGATGGGTGGCTGGGTGGGTAGAGGCTGCCTGGCCCCCCGCTGATGGGCTGACAAGGAAGAAGGAGAGGTGGGGTGGGGGAGGCCCCAAGGCCGGCTCATACCTGGTTTGGCCACGCCCTTGCCAGGGGGGCACTTGCGAAAGGGGCCGCACACAATGCAGCCCTGCTGCTGCTCCAGCATGCAGTACCAGCCGGGCTCGCAGGTGCAGATGCGGTTCTGTTTCTGAGTGCAGGCCTGAGTCTCCATCAGGCCTGGAGGAGCAAAAGGGCAGCCGTGGTTATTTCTACCACACACTCTCGGCCCTCCCAGCCCGCCCACCATGTGCAGAGTGCCCTGGTCTTCTGCAGGCCACCACACCCTCAGCATGGGGTTGGCCATGGAGTCTGGGGTCCAGTCCCCTCCAGCTCCATCACCACATGAGCGCATGCTCCCGCCCTCCAAGACACTCGTCCTCAACTCTCAAGGGCCCGCTGCGCCTTTGCCCCTGGCCCGTCTCGGAGGATTTGGAGAGACAGGCTGGAAATGCCATGGATCTAGAGCAAAGAGCTGCAGGAGCCCCCTCCTGTCCTGGGGCATGACAGCAGTGCGGGGGGTGTCCCACCAGCTTTCAGTCACAGAGGCTGGCATGGCCAGTGGTGCTGCTGGGGGCCGCTCAGACTCACCCTGGCCAGTGCAGCGAGAGTTACAGCTCAAGCACTCAGGGACCCAGTTCCAGAGCTGGGTGTAGGTGTTGTCCTTGCAGGGTTCACAAATGGTATCTGAGGTCGTGGTGCAGTAGAATTGCACGTGATAGCCTGAGGAAGCAAGGGTGAGGGTCTCAGGGCAGCCAGGAGGGGCTCTGCCAGGACCCTAGGTTCACTCACTAATCCCCAGAGCCCCAGAGATCTGAGCCTCGCTGGGGAGGCAGTTTGACGAGGTTCAGGCACCCCCTCAACTGATCTCACATCCACATCAACCAACTGTCACTCCCTCTCTGAATTCCCACTGCTCAAAAAATACCTTTCTCTCTGCTCTTCCCAGATGCCTGGAACCCTACCGTGGAACTGCCTGCTACTAGTCAATCACACTTCAGTAAGAGCTGGCTTGCCAGTTTCTTTTTTCTTTTGGTTTGGTTGAAATTCTCTGCGGGTATGAACTAGAGGGGGGATGGCAGTAAGAATGCAGTCCCTGGTATCCTATCAAGGTTGGGGACATGGAGAGTAGAGAGGGGACCTGCCGGGGACAGGAGAACACCTAGGAGATTCTCTTCACAGCCCTGTCCCGGGGCCTCGCCTGCCACATTCACTGTTGTGCTAATCTAGTAACTCCTCAGTGAGACTCCGCCAGTTAATAGAAAAAAGAAGAGTCACTTTCCCTGGGGTCTCTGGGAAGGCTATAGGAGCTGATGGGTACCTATGTGCCCACCCCCATCTCAGGTTAACAGCTGAGACCTGTCTGGCTCCTGCAGAATCCAGGAACTTCTAACTCTAAACTGCTCAGCTGCTATGTGCCCACTCTCAGTCACCCACACTAGCCTTGCTGTTCCTCAAGTTCACCAAACAGGCTTCCACCTCAGGGCCTTTGCACTTGCTGCTGCTCCTGCCCGGCCGGCTATTCCCTGTTTATCACTCCTTCACCTCCTGCATGTGTCTGCCCAAGGGTCAGCTCCTTGGGAGGCCTTCACTGCACACCCCATATAAAGCAGACATCCTGTTCTGTCTGCCTCCGTGGGCCCTGCCCTGCTTTTCCCTTCACTGACCTCTGATAGGACAGCACAGTTATTTCTGTTGGTTTATGTGTTTGTGTCTCTATTAGAATGTAAAACCCAGTGGGTGAAGATTTTGTCTGTCCTGCTCTTTGTTGCAATGCCAGCACTTAGAACAGTGCCAAACACTTCGTAGATGCTTTACATGTATTATAGGAATATGTGTATGGATGGATGGATGATGGATGGATGGATGGATGGATGGATGGATGGATGGATGGGTGGGTGGATGGATGGATGGATGGATGGATGGATGGATGGGTGGGTGGGTGGATGGATGGATGGATGGATGGAGTGATGAAGATGGATGGATGGATGGAGTGATGGAGGCAGATAGATAAGGATGGATGGCTGGATGGCTGGATGGATGGATAGATGTGTCAGTGGGTGAGTGGGTAGATGATGGCTGGATGGATGGATGGGTCGGTGGGTGAGTGGGTAGATGATGGCTGGATGGCTGGATAGCACTGGGAGTTGGGCCACTCAGCTCTCAAAATGTGGGTCCAGGCTGCACATCCACTCTCTGACAAATGCATGAGCATTCTTTGATTATATATGTACTGACGCCCACTATGTGCCAGTCATTGCTCCAGGCATTGTGCCAGTGGAGGACAAGCCACAGTCAGTGTTTTGAAGGAGCACACAGCAGGGATGACAGAAGAGTTACCAGGCACAATCACACCGGGTGAAAAGAGCTATCGCAGGGGACACCAGGGGCCAGCGGGAGTTCAAAGGAGGCCAGAGCTAACCCAGCAGTGTGGACAGACTTCTTCCTGGAGGAGCAGGGCCATCGCAGCTGAGGTCTGAAGGGCAGGCAGAGTAACCAGAGGAAGGGAGTTGGCAGGTATGCCAGGCAGGGGGAACAGCATGTGCAAAGGCCCAGAAGCACAGGGAGCATGAAGCCAATTCATGGAGCTAGAAGGAGTTCAGAACCACTGAGGGCCAGGACGCTGCGCCTCCACCCCTGCACACACACCCCCTGCGAGGCCCCAGGCCCCGGCGCTACCCCTCACCAGGCGGGCACTTGCTGCAGCACATCTGGGTGTTCTTGTCATAATATTCTCTCTGCTGGCAAGAGCTTCCGGGCACCGGGGCGTAGGGGGGGGTGAATGAAACCTGGAAGGAGGAGGGAAGGACCATCAGCAGCATGGTCATGCAACACCCGGATCCCGATCCTAGGTCCTGCAATTGTTTGGCCCTCTCCCTACTGGGAAAGTGCCCAGAAGGGAACCTCCCCATTTGGCGGGGGGTTGGAGGGGTGCTGAAGGGAAGGCTAGAAGAAGGTTAGAGTCCTTGCTTTCTTTCACCGCCCCCCATTCCATCTATAGAGCGCACTCCGCCCGCAGGAGGAGGCGCTGAGCCAGCTGGTGGGAGGCAGGGGCTGGCCCAGCTGTGACCCAGATCAGAGAGAACCACAGCACTCAGCAAAAAGCACCCTCCACCTGGGAAGACCCCTCCCGTCCCACACCTAGGAAGTGCCCCTTCCTCCTGCTGAGTGCCACCTCCCCTGGGAAGAACTCTCCGACTCCCCGATTACATTTCCTCTTTGGGGTGACCTGAAGTCTGGATGTGGAGCCTGCTAACAATCATCTCCGCACTGACACAGGGAGCCACGGTCCTCCACCCCTCGTGGCGCCTGTGTTGGGCGCGTGCGCACACAGCACAGAGGCAGGAGCAGTGGTCTTGGCGTCCAGACCCTCAGCCCCAGCTTCCCGCTGTGTTTCAGCAGGTGTGCATCGGCGCTGGCAGGAGGACAAGGACAGCTGCTAGCAGCTCTTCACGGTACTTGGCACATTTCTAAGTGTTTCAGGGCCTCTGGGCAGTGGGCGCTGCTGGGTGGAGTCAAGCCGATCGCCTCGACCTGCGGAGCACCCGTCCCCAGATGCAGTGGGTGCTGCCTGATGAGACCAGGTGGCACCCACAGGGCTCTGCACCAACATCGAGAAACCCTGGGGGTGGCGGGGACGAGCACCTGGGCTGGGGTTTCCTGCTGCGGAGCCGTCGGGGGCTCCTCTTGTCCCCAAGCCCTGGCCAGAGCCGCTTCCTCCACCAGGATCAGCCACGTGCCTCCCTGACAAAACCCCATTAGAACCTCAGAAGTGTCCTCCTCTGAGAGCAGCCGCCCTGTGACAGTGCCCTGCCCACACTGGGCTCAGAACACACACGAGCAGGTGCACGCACGGCCACACACTCGTGCTCTCAGTCAGCCCATCCTGCCTCCCTGCACAGCGGGCCCCAGAGCAGGTGGCCAGGCACACGGACAAAAGGGGAAGCAAGGGCCCCTCACCGGGGCTCCTCGCGGTTGGGGAGCCTCACTGCGTGTATTCTGGGGGGCCTGTTACTGTGTCTTCTCCCCCCACCCTAAATAGGGGGAGGAAGAGCAGGGCTGGAAAGAAAAAACATCCCAGGTGGCGCTGATGCCCACTGCTGGCCACGCCGGCTGCCTGGCGCCCACAGACACAGCAAAACGCCTGGGCAGGGACCAAAGGCTGGGGGCGCCCCTACCCCAGACAGAAGGACCTTCTGCAGCAACCCTCAGAGCACCATTCAACTGAGCATCAACTGCTAGGGAGGGGGGCCTGGCTGTCCCCCCAAATGGGTCCTCTGCAGACAGCTGCGTGTTGCATCTGTGTGGGAGGGGCTGTGTCTCTCCGCCTTGAATGAACACCCCCAAGGGAACTGCCTCTTCCTCAGAGAGTATCTGGAGGGCAGGGCTTCTCGTGCAGCCCTCGACCCCTCGGGGTGGCCACCACAGGTCCCGGGGACCCAGCACATCTCTGTGAGTACCCTTGGGGTAATCAGGGGAGTCCCTCCCTTATGTGGGGCCAGGAGGCTCCAGGGAGAGGGAGAAGGCCTTGCCCTACCAGGCAGCCCCCACAGAGCCTGCCCTGACAGGAGGAAAGTTCCTTTCAGGACCCAGACGGCCTGATGGGAAAGGGTCTTGGCCAAGGTTCCTGGACAAAGGCAGGCGGCTGGACCCCAGGGCCCCGAGACCGACAGACCAGGCCTCTCTGTGCCCCCTCCAAGGGTCTTTTCCTGCCTGCATCTTGCTGCGGTGACCCATGGAGGTGCTCCCTCTCCTGCTGCTCCAGACCCCTATGAGCCCGGAAGCTGCTCAGAAAAGCAGCCCTCCCTTGAGCAACCTCAGGGCCTGTTTATCCTCTTAGACAGAGAGAAAACCACAGCTCTGTCATGGCAAAACAATGAGGAACAGAAAGCCCCTGGGCAGAGCAGGACAAAGGTCACTCCCTCCCCTGAGGTGCTCCCCAGAGCACACTGGGCCCACTGCCCAGCCCTGGGAACCACAGCCCTGAGAATGGGCCTCCCGCCACTGTGTGTTGGGGGGGGGCCTGGGGGGTCCCCAGACCCTCTGGGAAACCTGGGACTATGGAAGCTTCCAGTTCTTCGGCCTGGTGTTGGGGAGGTGCAGATCCACCTGGCAACAGGGCCCTGTGACTGACATCTGAAAATGAGGAACCAAATTAGATGATTCACTCAGCATGTTTAGCTGACCCAGCTGTCAAGATAGAGGGTTCCAGGTGGAAGTTTGGAACTGACTGCTGAGCACTGACTACCCCTTCACAGACGGGGACGTCCGAGGCCTGGCTGGGGGCAGGAATTGGGGAAGACAGATAATAAAGGGGTGACAATTGATAGGTGGTAGACAGAAAGATGGGGCGGTGATGGATGATGGCAAGAGGATAGATGAAAGGAGAGAGGGAGGCTCTAACATCCAATTTCTAAGGAGGGTCTTATTGTGCCCATTTCGCAGATGAGGAGGGATGGAGCGGGAAAGAGGCAGAACCACCCCCCCAAGTCTCCCAACGGCTCTGGGTGGTTACAGGGTGCGGCTGGTGGCAGGCTGACCGGAGACCTGACTCGTGGAAGCCATCAGGGTCCACGCTCGCCCACCACAGGCCTCAGAGCTGCCGCACTCTGGGTCCACAGCCCCGACCCCTCCCCTCCCCTCCCTGTCAGGCTCTCTCCGGCTGGGACAGGAGGCGCCTGCAGTTGGTAGTGGCTGGCAGGCACCGAGCACCACCCGGCCCCACGAGTGACTTTTCCTACTCGACCCAAGCACCAGCGTGCCCTCCCCAACACTTCAGCAGCTCTGAGAGCCCAAGTGATGTGCCCAGGGCTACACCACAAGAGCAGTCTCCTGGCCTGCCCCCACCTCTCTCTTCCTAGCCTCCCAGCCCCCTGGGCACAGACCCAAGACCCCACTGCACCCCCCAATCTCGGTATCTCTCCCCCCACCTGTCCAGCCTCCATCACTCCTCCAGGTTCTCAGCCTTGGCGATTCAGGGAGGAAGGAAAACAACAGGATATTCTGTAAGCACCTATTGTGTGCCAGGGCGTGTTACAGAGTCCCCCTGCCATCCCCAAAAGCAGGTGTGTGTGTGCCCATTTCACAGTCCAGGGGGAGCAAGTCACGAGTATGAGGCCACACAGAGAGGAAGAGGTGGAGCTGGAAGGGTGATGCCTGTGCTGGTCGCTGTGGGGAACATGCTGGTCTCCCCTGAAACACAGCTGAGGGAGCCAGAGTCTCTGCCCTCGTCCCTGAGTCACATCTGGGCCTCCAGTCCCCACGCATCAAGTGCCGGGGCTGGGTGGGCGTTGGCTCGCGTGTACACATGCACACTCACCTCATATACACGCATGCACGATAATGCAAGGGACCCCTCTTGCCCTTGCGCCAACATCCTCTGACCTCAGCTCTGACCTGGTTTCCCAAGGGACCACCCAGCACCCTCAGAACGAGCTGGTCTTCTACAGGAGGCAGGGACAGCCAGCAAAAGAGGCCTGGCTCTCCCAGAACCGCCTGTGTCCAGGCTCCTGAGTGGGCCCATCCTGGGGCCGCCAGCTCCAAACATGAGCGGCGAGTCTCAAAGGTAAGACTCTGAGCAGGGAGGCTTGGACCGGCTGATCGGCAGCTGTCCAAGTGCTAGAAGGCTGCGTGGGAGCCAATGACAGCGGGATGGGACGAGGCCCAGACATGGGGGCAGGAGGGAAGCACAGCTGCTCAAGGCTGGCAGGAACCTCAGACGTGACCTCAGACAGCCTCCCGTTTTAATGGTGGTGGAAGTCAGGGGCAAAGATGAAAAAAGTTCTCTCAGTCATTCAACAAACATACCGAGCACCTGTCATTCCAGATGCTGGGTGTACAGCACCCAACATCTACACAGCCTCTGCCCTGGGGGCACTGCTTTAGTCGAGGAGACACATGTGGGGCAGAATGTCGGGTGGAACAGGGGCTAAGGAACCGGAGAAGCAAGCTATAGGGCCATATGCCAGGGCAGCTGGGCCAGAGCGGGGAGGGTGGGAATTCCTGGAGACAACAGCCATGGCAGCTTCTCCAAGCCAGGCATCCAGGGGAGCCTGCGTGCCTGTCACTCTCTTCCCACAACCCCGCAGTGAGGGCTCATCATACTGAGCCGCTATCCCCAAGTCACAGGCCTCCTCATCCCTAGGCCTGTGTCCTCCCCGTGTGTCCACCAGGGAGATTGTCCACCCCCAAAACATCCCCTCCACAGTGGGGGAGAACCAGCTTCTCTGTGCCTCAGTTTCCTCATCTGTAACACAGTGGCATGGGCCTGGTGGAGGCTTGTGTCCTTCCCAGCTCGGGCCTGTTACAGACGGTGTCAAAAAGCTCCATCCCTCAGGAGACCTCAGAAGCACTGGGTGGGTGTGTGGGTGGGTGGGAGCGTGGGAGGCTTTGTCACCCACAGGAGTGAAGGAAAAACTGAACAGGCTGGGAGAAGAGGGAGGTGGGGTTCCGGGGCCCCAGCCTGTGCCTCTCACCCTCTCTCCCAGGAGAGGGCAGCCGAGGCCCGAGCAGGTGGCCTCTGGGAGCCAAAGGGCCCGAGCTGCCAGCCCTCCCAGGTGCACCTGACACCTGCACGCAGGAGGAGCACACACAGCTGCAGTCCCGGGGGACTTGGGGATGTCACTGTCACTTACATATAAGGTCCTGCCTTTCCTGGGGTTGTGGCGGGAGCAGCGGCAGGGTCCGCCATCTCCCAGACGCCAGGGAGCTTTAAGGGGGCCTGCCGAGCCCTGAGCGGCAGCCTGGGGTGGCAGGCCTTCTGTCTGGGAACCGAAAAGGGAGGACAAGT